TGTGAAATGGGGGGCCAGTAGGGAGGCTTCCATGAGCTGATGTGGAAGAAGCGCTTGGCTCAGCTCAGCATCTTCAGTACTTACCACCACCAGTTTGAACTTTAGATCTGGGAGAGGTTTTCTTCTTCCTTCTGGCAGCTTCTTGGCACCCAGCTAGGCATGCCTAAAGAGCTCCTTTGGAGTCTGAAGGAAAAAAATCGACCCTCCACCTTTCCCAGAATTCTCCACTGATGATTTCCTTTAGAACTCCTGAAGCAGGCTCTGATGAGGGGGCCAAGAGCCCCTGGAGGGGAGGGGTATGCGAAGGAACGGTCTTGAGCCAAAATTGGGTGGGGCCTCAGTTAGTGATTCTTCAAGAGTCTTTTCTTCCTGTGGGGACCATTTCACACCTTGGCACACACCCAGACACAGTGGGAGGTGGGGGTAGATGGAGGATCAAGCTCCCCACACAAACTCAATTCCACCTCCAGAAGAGTTTCACTGTTGTTTTAACCCACCTTTGATCAATCTAGGTGTTTAGCTTCCCTTGGCTCCGAAAAGGTGCTTGGGGAATACCTGTTTGTTTTCAATCAGAGAAAATTCTAGCAGGCTGGGAGAAGGGAAGTGGGCGTAAAAGACCCCATGGTGCCCCTAAGTGGGCGAGCTGGTGCGCAGGACTATTTTTGGTGGGGTTGGCTCAATGCTGAAGCCAGCGGGTGGTGCTGCATGGAGAGGGGACCGGAGATGCCAGGAGGGCCACGTGGTCAATGCCAGCTGGTGGAATGGCCCTAGATTTTCCTGAGCATTAATTCCTGAGCTGTAATGTCCCCGAGTCATCAGCCTGTCACCCTTCCACATGAACTTCAGCGATCACACTGTGTAGTAGGCAACTGCATGCTAAGGAGGACAGGACTGCTCCCCACTCCCTGGGAACTCAACATTTTGAGGAGGTGGCAGGTGACAACGCTGACAATTAAACCACAGTGTGATGTGAGCTTTTATGGGAGAGAACGCAGGGGCTGAGGGAGCCCCAGACAGCTTTCACTTTGTCAAGACAGGGCTCAGAGGGACCAGTGGACGTCTTTGATCCGGCTAGGCGCTGTAGAAACTTCCAATACGAAAAGATGCAAGTGTGCACAGGAGTGAACAGAGTGCTCCCGGCCAGGCAGAGGACACAGCTTGAGCCAAAGGTCTGCAGGCTTTTCCTGTTCCACCTCAGGTCCTAGGAATCAAGGCAGCCACTAAACACAGTGGATGCACAGTGGAGGCCAGAGAAGAGACTTGGGAACCCTATGAACCCCACTTTCTCCACTCACTAGCTGTGGAACTCTAGGCAAGTAGCTTCCTTCTCAAAGTCTCAATTTCCTTACCTATAAGACGCATTACTGGGAAGATTCAATGGGAGCTCACGCCCAGCGTCAGCGGGGAGCCTGCCTTCAGCAGGTGCTAAGGAGTGATGCTGAGCAGTCCATCCACCCTCTGCTCACCTGTGCTCCAGGTCTGGCCCCACGGGGGTGGGGGCGGTGGGGGGAGCAGGCTGAGTGTACCAAGACCTCCAGGGCGCCCTCTGGTTACCCCAGTCCTCTGGTCTTCCCCTCCCCTTCTCCTCTGGGCACTTGCCAAGGGTATCCTATAGGAGTGGCCCGAATGGGCCCACAAGAACTCCAGAGCTGACACAGCATGATCAAGTCAAACCTTCACATATGTGCATACATCACCTTGGTGAATCCACACAACCGCCCTAAGATCCAGGTGGAGAAAGTGAGGTTCACAAGGTAAAATAACTTCTGGCTCCAGGTCACATGGCTGGGGAGAAGTGGAAGACAGACTAAGTGCTTCTCTGTGGCTCCCTTGGTGGACCAGCTGGTACAAAAGTGCTTCAAGTATGGCCAACAGCATGAAACACTCACACTTGTCATGTGTCAAACACTGTACTAAGCACTTCACAGCTATAACTTACTTCATTCTTCCCAACAACATAGCGGAAGGTACTGTTACTATCCCCATTTTACAGAGACCAACACTGAGGCACAGAGAACATAGTGACTTGTCCATGATCACACAGATAGCAAGACTCCCAGCCGATTTGATAACTCAGGCACCTGCCATGGCCCAAGCCTTGACTACGATGTAGGCCTCATCACATACAATTCTAATTTCTGGGAACTAACTTCCTCCTGCCACCTGCCACAGTGCCTTTGTATTTGCTGTTCCCTCTGCCTGAAGTGCCCTTTCCACAGATCCTCATGTGGCTGGCATCTTCTTACTTTTGTTCCAATGTCAGCACCTCACAGAGACCCTCCCAGTCCATTCAAGGGTCATGTACTTCCTCCCTACCCCCTACCCCCAACCCACACTATCTTATTCATCCCCTATTAATTGATTTGTTACTGTGTCTCTCCCCTCAGGAACATCAACCCCTCTGGGTCACCCCTGCATCCCCAGACTCTGGCCAATAATCTTTTTTTTTTTTTTTTTTAATGTTTTATTGTGAATTATGTTCTGGCCAATAATCATTTGGTAAACCATTTGTAAAAGTGGTAGCTCCTTGCAGAGGACTAAAGGGGTCTTTCACCCTCCTAAAGTTCTGGTGGCTGAAGAAGCCCACTGTCTATAGTCTACCTCAGAACCTTCTCCCAGACCCTGGGGTTTACTGCCTGCTGTAAGGTATTAAACCTGACTTCTAAGCAGTCAGACAGTAAGTCATACCCAGAAAATGCTACAAGAAGCTATAGAACGGGAACCCTGAGCATCTGTGGGGGAGCTGGGAACCCAGGAAACTGACAATATCTCAGCATCCCCACCCCTACCACCTGTCCAAGCAGAAACCAGACAGAACTCCCCAAAGACCAGTCCTCCATGCCACAGTGGTGTTGGCCTAAATAGGGGCAGGTGGCAAGTCCACTCTTGTGGTGGGATCCCAGTTAAGAGAACTCAATTCATCTAGACACAATGACAACACAAGCGGGTATAGTAAGGGTCTTTGCAAAGCAAAGTTACAACAGACCAAAACTGTTCACATTTGGGCAAAGCAGAATACTAAGGAAAAACGGAACAATCACAGGTCCAAAGCTCTGGAAGACTTGGAAGGCTGACCGTGAACCCTTTTAGGAGCCTCATGCGTGACACTAGACTACTGCCAGGAGACAGCAGAGCGCCGCACAGTCAAGGCTGTGTGGTCAACCGCCATCTTTGAGCTAAGCACAACTGTTTCCAACTCTGCTGTTAAAGAGATCTTGGTTGCTATGCAACGCACAAGCTGCCCTTATTTTCTAAGAGGGAGATTAAATTTCTAGTAGGACATCAACCCATAATTTTTCCTTCCAGTTTACCTACATTTTACCAATTCAGTTCCAGTGAGGTTTCAAGTCATTAGTCATGACTAAACCAGGAAGAAGTTTGAAGCCCTGTGGCCGCAGCAGGAGAAATAAAAATGAAAGTAAACAATCAACAAACACGGGAGGGGGGACGACCCAGAAAAAGGAAGGGCAAACGGAATCCTACCTTCCTTCTCAGCGTACTCTTGGGTTGACAAGGGGCTTCAGAAAACATTTAAATAAGTAAAATAGTCACATGGTTACAAATTACAATATTAACAAGTTACAGGGCAAACCTCATTCCCCTCCCACTATCTCCCCCAGTAAGTTCATTACCCTGCATTTCCTAATATACCATCCCAAAGTCTTTGCTGCAAAAGCAATTACATATATGAGGGGCTTCAAAATTTTTGTGGAAAAATGTAATGAAAAGATAATGGAATTTTTCCAGGATCTTTTTGAAGCCCCTGATGTATCTGCTTAAATACCTCCTGTCATTTTTTTTCCCAAAAATGGTATCATTTGTGTATTCTGAACCACACCTTTTTTTCTCCAGTTGGGAGATATTTTTATATTTGCACATAGGAATATATACACACACTAGTAATATAAGTTTTTTGTGATTTTCACCCAAAAATCCTTCCCCAAAGTGTTTAAGTTGGGAGACCAGGAGGGGCTACCCAGGGCCCCCCAGCTGCTCTTAGTGCAAACACAAATGTTGGGGTCATCCTTACCAGGGACTGACTCTGGACGCAGCGGACGCCAGCCCCTTCCTGAAATATTTTCACTTTCCTTATCTTGAGCCACCGACCTGGTTCTAGCAGAACCCGTATTCCACAACGATGGAAACTGAGCCTCAGAGAGGTAAAGCGACTCGCCCAAGGTCACACAGCCAGGAAGTAGTATTCGTAGAGTGAAAACACAGACTGCCTGTCACCAAAGCCAGTTTGCCTACACACCTAGCCTCCTGCAGTCTTTGGTACACACCCTCTTCAGGGCTAGTGGTAGGACTAGGCGCCCTAAGGTCAGAGACCAGGGTCGTGTCCCCAAATCCGCGGGGCAGGTGCTTACTCCGTCACTTCCCTACGGGTAGCTCAGTCCCGTGGCCCAGCCTCCCCGAGCGCCGTGGTCTGGGCCGGATGCGGGGCGCAGAGGCTCTGTAGGTCCCGAGGTCTGGACTAGCTAAGAGAAGGACGCGGCGCTGAGGGCGAAGTGTTCTACGGACGCAGCCGGGCTTAAGCCGCCCATTTTACAGACGTGGAGCCGCACAGATACACGGGCTCCCTCGTGTAAGGTCACTCCGCCAGCGAGTGGCGGAGCCCGGCGCCTGCCCAGTTCTGGCTGACTGGAAAACTTTCCGCCCCTTGCTCATCTCCGAGCCAAACGACCGCCAGGTGCGGACGCGCACACCTGCCGAGAGGCCCGTGCGCTCTCTCTCCACGCCGGCGCGGTTCCCCACCCGCCCGCAGTCCCCGAAGGCGGCTTCCAGGACAACTCCGGGAACCGCTTATTCAGCATCGCGCGGGCTCTTCGTCGCAGCCCGCCAAGTGGCCGGCAGGCACCCATTTGAAGGAGGAGGAAACTGAGGCGCGGAGATGGGCAGCCACTGGCCCAAGGTCACACGGCACTGGGACTGGGGGCCCCGCCGGCCATCCAGTCCCCAGCCCCCCCGCCCCACACACACACCGCCCCGCGGGTACTTACAGCCAGTCTTGCCCACGAGCTCCCGCACCTCCTCGGACGCGGAGTGGGCAGCGCCCATGGTGCCCGCAGCGGGGCTCCTGGCTCTCGCCCCTCGCAGGCCCCGGGCTGGCCTCCGCTGCGCAACTGTCGGTCCGGCTCGGGTCCGGCGCGGGTCGGGGTGCCGGGGATCGCCGGGAGCCTCGGGTTCCGCGTGGGGCCCGAGTGCTGCCTCATATAGCGGCGGAGAACAGCGCGCCGCGGTCCTAGCGCACGCCGGCTTCATGCACTGCGGGGGAGGGGGGCACGACGGAGAGGAGGGCGGTGCACGCCGGCCCTTGGAGGAAACGGCGGGGAGGGGCGGGGAAAGGGGCTCAGGGCCCACCCCTGTGGTTCCTTAGTCTGTGCGTGTAGCGCCTGGTCTCTTTCATACCCCAAGCCCCATTTGGAAAGAAGTAGCTGGGGGGAGCATTGGGGAGAGGATGGGTGTTGTCGTTGTTGTTAAGTGCCGTTGAGTGGATTCCGACCCATAGTGACCCTGTAGAAGAGTTTCCAAGAAGCAGCTGGTGAGATTGAACCACCGACCTTGCAGTTCAAACGACTTTGCAGTCTGACGCATTAGCCCACAGTGCCATACCAAGACTCCGAGGGTGGGAGAGACGCCCTGAAATTACAAACCCACCTCCACCCTAGCCCCACCGCACATCCTCCCAGATCCAGGATGGGAGACTCTCGTGGGACAGTGAAGGAGGGCTTATGGAGCATTAATTAGGTCTCTGCTGACACTGTAGATATAGACATTGAGCTGCCAAAAGTTGGCAGTTCAAACCCACCAGCCGCTCTACAGAAGACAGATGAGGCTGTCTGCTCCCGGACAGTCATGGGAAACCCTATATAGCATCACTATGAGTTGGAGTAGACGGGATGGCAGGGGGTTTGGTTTGCTTATGGTCAACAGAATGGTGATAAAATTACGGATGAACGAGTAGCGGGAGTGTTTCCAGGAAACTCCCTGCCTTCTCCCCTTAGCATATGTGGACCCGCACTGAATGGCAGCTAGCAACAAGAAATGAACTCATGAGGCATCTGTGAGGGGCATGGAAGATAAGTGTGTGTAAAAGGCTGGTGGGGCAATGCACTGTCAAGGGGTTCCCCTTCCCAAGGTCTGGCCTTTGAGCTCCGTGCTGTGGGGCTGCAGTGACATTGACCATCTGGGATTCAATGTCTGTCCTGGCCAGCCAGCATCGGTGACAGTGCTGGGAGTGGGGGTGGAGGTGTATTCACCTGCATTGGCTTCACAGGGTGCTGGGGGGGGAGGGCGATGCTGAGCCCATTCCTTGAGACTTTGGGACTAAGTGGAGCAAAGGACTTCGCCCCATTCATACTGATAAAGAAGGAGCTCTGGTAGCATTGGTTACTGTTGTTAAGTGCCATCGAGTCAGTAGGGTTTCCAAGGAGCGACTGGTGAGCTTGAACCACAGAACTTGTAGTTTAAACGGCTTCTCAGTCTGGCGCATTAACTCACAGCGCCACACCAGGACTCCAGGTAGCATTGGAGTTGAGTGCTCATCTCAAGGTCAGCAGTTGGAAAAAGATGAGGCTTTCTGCTCCGGTAAAGAATCACAACCTTCGGAAACCCTATACAGGGTCACTGTGAGTTGGAATCCACTCCACAGCACATAACCACCACCACCACCACATTGATACAATTGGGCAGTGCCTGGGAATCTGCACTTCAAAGCGTTCCTCAGGCAGTTCTAAACACCACACTAGTTGAGGAAATATTGACTGTGGGGCATCATCTAGTCTGAGCAGAAATATGGGTCAGAAAAAGGGTCCCAGGGTCCCCTGGGAGGTGTGGCAGATTAGTCAGTTTATCACCAATAACTGCTGGGAAACGGTTTTATTTTGACTTAAAATATCAGTTCCTGGAATTTCACTACATTCAATTATTTAAAGATTCAATGTGTGAGCTTTTTGCTGGAGCGATAGGCTACGGCCTTCTCCTGTCTGTCCCCTTGCTCCTTAAACAGTGGCTCCCAGAGCTGGGATAGGATAGGCAGATAGGATCACAGCCCTGGGGTCATGTTCTGTAAGAAAAAGGGCTGCATGGCTATGCCAGTGGGGAGCCAAGAGAGAAGACCAAAAGGCAGGGCTTGGAAAAGTAAACAGGGCTCCTAGTGACTGTGGTAAACTGAAAACGCCAAGGTGACGTTGCTTCGTTTCATATTTATTGAGGGCCATGTGGAGCTGGACTTTGTACCACAAAGTTAGCAGTTCAAACCCACCATCTGCTCCTCAGAATCCCTACACAGGATAGCTATGAGTCAGAACATCAATAACTATGTCTAAAGGAGCCCTGATGGCACTGTAGGATAAGCACTGGTCTGCTAACTCCACGGTTAGCAGTTCAAACCCACCAGTCGCTCTGTAGGAGAAAGATGGCATCCATTGTTCCATTAGGATTTATGGCCTTGGAAACCCTGTATAGACTCGCTGTGTTGGAATCGACTCAGTGGCGTGGGCTTGGTTTTCATTTTACTATCTTCAGGGTCCTGGGGCCACAAACAGGTCTAAGACATGGTCTTTGCTCCTAAGGGACCCCTGGTTGAGTCAGGGAGGGAATAGGCATCCAGGCAGAGATAAGACTTTGAGGTACAGCAGGCTAAACTCGGGGTAACGTGAGCACCACAGACTAATGTTTCAGCCCAAAAGGACCGTGGAGAGACAGTTGTCTCTTAAGGCAAGCTTCAGAGAGTCTGTGTCTGTCCCAGTGGACATGCCAAAGCCCCAACACTGGGTAGACATGCCTGTGAGGTTCTGTGGTCCTTGGGTGGCCCCCCTTCTTGGGCAGTGATGCACTGGCCCAGCAGGGCTGCCTGCTCCAGGACGTCATGGCTCTAATTCAATCCTACAAGTGGCTCTGCCGGCGTCAACAGAGCCGGAGTTAGGTCTGGAGCTTTTCATGGGGCCTGGCTAGGGTTGATTGTCTTGTTGTCTGGAGCCTGGGAAGAGGGGCACGTGTGTGGCGATCTTTATCCTCCTATAACAAAGCATGACTTCAGGGCTGGGAAAACAGCTAGTCACCCTGCAACTGCGTCTTTTCTCCCCGACGACCTATCCCGAAGGAGCTGATTAAAAGCTGTATCTTCGTCTGTGCAGCTGGTGCCAGGAGGCCACAAAGGGTACCTGCACCAGAGAGGAGGAGAAGGCGCCACTTCCTCTCTTCTGGTGGGGGAGGGGCTTCACTGCCCTGGGTCTCTGTTGTCCTATCTATCCTCACAGGGTGATTGTGAGGACTACATGTGGACTAATTTAAGTCCTTAAAACTGCTCTGTGCTATTAAACGGGCGCTCCAAAAAGACAAGGGGGAGAAACAAACCCTTGATCTGTAGCATTTGCCTATTTCCATGGTGTAAATACCCTTCTCTGGCCCATTTCAAGCACAACATTTGACTTTCAACATTTCTGAATGTTTAACCATGTCCTTTACAAGCGGGTGTGAGCTGGCTGCAGCACCCAATGAACTATTATTAGTAATCATATGTCCATTTATTTAGTCATTCATTCATTCACCCACTATTGCAGGCTGGGAGCCCACACACCACAAATGAACACGACTTTAGTGCCCCCAGAGATGTGAACAGATGGCTTAGCACACTGATGCGCTATTGTAGGAGCCCCAAGGAGAAACACCCAGCACATCCCCATTTTACAGATGTGAAAACTGATTTGCTCAGGGCCAGAATGTCAGCATGAAGTTTTCTAAGTTGCAGTTTTTATAATTCACCCATCTGTTCCCCTTTATCTTTTAATCACTAGCTTGGGATAACTCCCAAAGCAATGCAATGGGTTAGGATCAACAAGACACTTTTTAAAAATCTTTGGGGCATCAATTCTGAGAAGTTTAGGGACTCCAGTAGACATCTTGCTTGGCCTCTGCTTTAAAGAAGAACACACTTAAACAATTTCAGACCAGCAATGACTAGCGATACACACACACACACCAAAGTCATTGTCAACAAGTTGATTCTGACTCATAGTGACCCTATTGGTGGTAGTTATGTGCCGTGGAGTTGGTTCCGACTCATAGTGACCGTGTACAAGGTTTCCGAGGCTGTAAATCTTTACAGTTGCAGAAAGCCTCATCTTTCTCCCATGGAACAGCTGGTAGTTTTGAACTGCTGACATTGTGGTTTGTAGCCCGATTCGTAAACACTACGATACCAGGATGGAGTAAAAATGTCCCATGGGGTTTTCTAGGCTGCAATCTGTATGGGAGCAGATTCCTGGGTGTTTTCTCCCACGGAACAGCTGGTGGAGTCAAACTGCCAACCTTGTGGTTAACTGCTGAGTGATCAACAATTACACACACCACGAGGCTCCTTCTGGACTGTCTAGGGCGTTGGAATCTCCTTTTTCCACTCCTCCACTGCCCTCTTTGCCATGAGACACAGTGAGACAAATACATGGGGCTCGTCCTCGAATCCCTTGGTCTACTTTCTTACTTTCTTACTGAGTCACTTTCAGTGTTAGGAAAAGGGACTCTGCAAAGGGGTTTTAGAACAGCTCTTCATTCTCTGAGAACTTTACCCTCAACCTGGACTTTGAACAGCATTGTCTCGGTCATCTGGGACCAGGGTCCTTCTGGGTGTCCACTTCCCCGAGACCTCAGCACCTGCTGGACTGCAGCCCGTGCTGTTGCCAGCATCTCTGCCTCGCTGCAGGGTTGGGGCCAGCGCCCAGACTGCAGAGGGACGCTAAAAATAGGAGACGTGGGCTCTTTGGGAGGGCCTGCTTATAGCAAAAAATTTCTATTATTTATATAATGATAAACAGCTACCTATTACTGGAACATGCAGGGGGGTAAATGGAATCTTGTCCCTGATGGGCTTCAAACCCTGCCCTACTGTCAGAGAAACAGACTTGCCAGAGAAGCAGAAAGAGGTGGCGGAGACCCAATGTCCCTTTTAACTTCTCTATCACTTTACATGAACTCTGGATGTGGTGCTGTAGGATCAGCACTGGACTGCGAACCACAAGGTCAATGGTTCAAATCCACCAGCCGCTTCTCAGAAACCCTATACAGGTTCGCTATGAGTCGGAACCAACTTGCAGTCATTTAACAATAACATCGCTTCACAGGTAGGGCAGGAATGGGACAGAATTCTCAGAGGGGAGGGGCGCCAAGGAAGCAGATGGTCGTAATCAGTGTTTGGGAGAGAACCAGGACTTCAAACTGGTTCTTCCTCGTTCCAT